TTCCCTAAAAGAGGACTCATTCTGGAGTTTGAAAACACCTCTTATCTATCAAATGTTGTGTAATGCTCCACAGTTACTCCCATTCATGTTATTGGCATGAAAGCTCCCAAAATCTCTCGTGCAATGTTAACATTTCTGCGCAAAGTCAACAAAACACAGATTAAAAAAGAGGAAGTGAAAGACCTGGGTCAAAGTATTATACACACTCTGGACCCTGGAGAATCAACACCAAAAATTTAAAACAATCCAAGAGAAATGTGAACAACTGGACCCATTTTGTGTTACTGTTCTTACCGGGTGCATCATACAAGGACACTTCCTTGTAAGTGACAGACATCACCGGGTGCTTGAGCTTCTCCCTGAAGTCACTGATGGTTTGGTAGACAAGAAACACAGCTACAGCCATGAGCAGCAGATAAATAAACAGGAGAATTACTGAAAAAACATTCTTTAGGCAGGTCTTGCTGAAACGCAAAGAAGGGGTAGTAGTACCCAGTTCACTATCTGGAACCAAACAGAATATGGATTAGGACTTTTAAATACAGATATCTGGGCTGAATTTATGCAATTTACATTCAAAGATGAATCTCTTGAGAGGAAAGTAAGCCTCAAACTCAGCTTGATTTAAAAAAACCACAGCTATTTTTAGTTTTGATGATCAGTCAGACAGATACTTCCTTCTCAAGTATGAGATATAATCATTGTGCCTCTTCTTCATATGTCAGAATTTGACCCTCTGCTTAAGAGCACTGGAGGCAGGAAGCAAGGATTATTTTCAAGGACAACTCAAAAGTTCAAAGTTCATATGGAAAAGTCTGATGACAGTCAATCTTTGCTTCTGGAAAAAACAACTCCCTTCCCCCTCTTCCCAGTCTGAGGTGATTGTTACACACTCAGCATATGCATCAGCAGTGATTTAATATTCTAAATGCACAGCTATCTGCATTGTATCTCCACCATGGTAGAAATCACTAGATATTTGTTACCCTCTAGTTAGTAACTCCTTGAACATACTGCATAAATTTCACAAAAGGATTCTTCCAATTACAGCTAGAAAAACACTGTCCAATTCTCTCAGAGTCTCCCTGCCTTCAAACCTTATTCCCTGAAGATCTTCACACTAGTTTCACTCTTATGCAGACACTGCTGTCCCCACATTCCTTGCATCTGTCATCTCTTTTGGCAATACTTCTAAGGAAAAAGTTTGTGTGCTCTTGAATTACACATCACATTTTGATCGTGAGTGATATATAGCTGAGCACACAAAAGGAGTGTTAGAACCCAACATACAAAAGGAGATAGGGAGACATACTTCATGCTGACTGCTCTGTGCAGTGTAATTTAATGAGTCAGGCCCTCTCAGGCCATGCCACACACTGCTGTTCAACTATAATAGCATGGTTTGGTGTTTGTTCCTTCCCACAGCAAACATGAGCCTTTTAGTAAACCCTATTGCACGCATAACCTCTTACAAAGGTCCATGGCCACACACATGTTCCCAAGTTACACAGCAGGAAATGGCAGCCAAGGCAATTAGGACATTCATATGCATAAAACTGCACTATTGAAACAATTATGTCTTGAATAGCTGCAAGGCATTTAGGCCATACTCCTTCCAGGGTGTCTTACCTTAGTGCCTATATCTGAGCTGCAATAAGCCCATTTAGCACTGCCCCACACTCTCCAACAGCAGAGCCAAACAGTTGAACTCAAAATCTGTTTAAAAGCACATCTGTTCAGCATTGCATCTTGCTCATGCAAATCTGGCACAGACTTTGCTAGCAACCCACTGCCACCACAGCAGCAGGTAAGACACAAGATAAAGGAAGATGCCATACTCTGCTATCTCAGAGCCAGATGTGCTGAATCTTTTTTGATTGACTAAAAAATATTATCACATCAGTCCTTGGAAAAACTCATTGGCTTTCCATCAGTACTGATTCCTTTGCCTTTGTTTTGTTTGCTTGCAGAAGTGCAATAAAACAAAACCAAAACAACCAAACCCACACACTGCAGCAGCTTATCAGGCACTAAAAAAAAAAAATCAGTAAGTTCTGGGACAGCAGTTCTCACCTGGTAAAATAACAGAGCTGGAATCTTCATGAACTTCCATCTCTCCTTCTCTCTCCTCTGTTGGGTTTCCAGAGACTCGCTCCACATCTTCACTCAGCTGCGTAGTTAAAACAGTGGTTCAATTTCCAAACATGCTCTCAACTTGCAATTGCTGGAATTTCTATGGTACAAATAAAAGAGGCTCCAACTAACCAAACACACAAAAACATGCCCCCAGTCCAAGAGCACCCAACATATGTTCCACTTGTCCACAATACAAGAGCCACATTTACACAGACCTGCAGTTAAAAATTAAGTGACTTGCACACTGCAAGAAGAGAAAGACACCACAGTAAGTTTAACCTGCTTCTACCCTGCTGCTCCAACAGTAACATCACGTTTTCTTTCAAGAGCAAAGAAATTACTTCCCTGGCAGCTCCAACTCACTTTAAACCCCCAATTAGGACAAAGTCCTCTGAAATAAGCAGGAACTTAGTTCTGTCACCGAAGAACATATTTTTAGGTATAAATCAACCACAGCACATACCAGCAAACAGAGCATTAGCACTTCTTAATAAGGAGGTGCAAGAAGAGTGAGATGCATTTTGACAAGTGTTAGGGCAAGTCACTCAAACACAGTCTCAGCCACACAGGCAGGTGTGCCATTGCAAGACAACAGTCAAACACCCCTATATTTCTGGTACTTATTTGATCTCACTGTACAGATTATTATATATTAGTAGTTATGCAAGTGTTAGTCTTACATTGTTTCTGAAACAGCAACAGAGACCAGATGTCTTCTTGTTTTGCTATTCAGAGTTCTGAGCCCAAACTGCCAAGACACTTCCATCAGTCAGAAGCTTGTCACATCAGATAGGCATCACAGGGCATTGTGAAGCAACCTATTTTTTATACTTTACATATATATAAAGTATTTCCTGTGTGTCTTCTAAATTTATTTTGTGTCAGGAACTAACATACAGGTTACAACAAGGCAAACCAGCACATAAGCTTGCAGCACATCACATGTTGCACAGCAACTGTCCAAGCTAAACACTCAGCATCACCTATCTCAAGGCAAATACAGGCTCAGTTAATGCAGAAGCTGTACAGGATACTATTAAACTGTACACCCCTAATTTACTCAACAACAATGTGCATATACCCATAAGGAGGTGCTTTATTTCACCCAACTTGAATTCACCATTGAAATCATCATTACACCATTACCAG